GTGATAAGTGGAAGTGATGGTGGGAGTGGTTACTCTTATTCTCAAAACTTGTTTCTCACACTTTTTTTTTTTTTTTTTTTTTTACCTGTTAGATACCTACCTCAATTTAAAGTATATACTGCACCTCAAAAGATGTACTTTCAGGGAGTGTCATCTCCAAGTTGATTCCTCAGCTGCATATTTTAAAGACAATTCCTGTACTTTTTCAGAGCAACTTCTGAATGATATTGTTTGCAGCAAATGTAGTGATTCTCAAAGTCATGTGCCTCAGGATGCTCTTCCTTTGTTTTAAAGTTGCAAAGTGTATCCCTTGACACAAAGTAAAGTTATACAGTATCCTGTGTCGGAAGGTCAGGTGCTCTATGAGTCCTCAAATAATGATTAGGAGCTGGGGGCAAAAAAGAAAGGCACATATGGAGAATGGGTCAATATCTGTTTGAATAAGTCATTGTCCTTGCTAGAGAAGAAGGAATTTGCTGTAATCAACTTTCCACCAAAGGGTTGGCTGTTCTTCTAGGAAGCTGGGACTATATCAGGGGCACAGTGTAGGTCTCATTTGCTGACAGAGCACTCATCAGCAGCAGGAGCTAAATCACACTTGATAAAAGGAGGCTGTGCTAGGATGCCTATCTCATGATTCACTGATCAAAGACCACCATGGCAACTCCATTAAAAAGTCACTGCAGCCAGGTAGGTGGCCCACGCCTGTAATCCCAGCACTTTGGGAGACTGAGATGGGCAGATCACAATGTCAGGAGATTGAGACCAGCCTGGCCAATATGGTGAAACCCCATCTCTACTAAAAATAGAAAAAAATTAGCTGGCCATGGTGGCACATGCCTGTAATACCAGCTACTCGGGAGGCTGAGGCAGGAGAATTGCTTGAACCTGGGAGACAAAGGTTGCAGTGAGTTGAGCTCATACCACTTCACTCTAGCCTGCATGACAGAGCAAGACTCCATTTCAAAAAAAAAATACAAAAAATTATATTACACAAGCGTTCAGGTAATTAAGAAAAAAGTTTTGCTAACATCAACTCTCTGAGTCATTCTATTCTCACTTCATTGTCTCTTTTGTAATGGGTGCTCTCTGATAGGCACTAACATCTAATATGAGAGTCCTGCACTTTGTGCCAACTGCTTTAGGACTCTTCAATGCCTCCTCTTACAGTCTTCTTATCTCAACTTTCTAATCTTGCTCTAAGTGGCACTTTCTATATATATGGCTAGTAGATTAGCATAAATGGAGTGAAGGAGAGAGACATGGAGAGTAGTTGAATCGTCCATCAGAAATAAGAGAAGCATAAAGATGGCCAAGTCAATACAGAAAAGAAAAAAGCCAGTGTTTTTGTTTTAACTTTATTTACAACAGAAATGTATGAAGGTGTTTTATGCTTCTAGGGGAATAGCACAGAAATGACTTAGCTCAAGATTACCCTGACACTGGTATTGGATTGGAAGACAAGGAGGCCAATTGGTGGGGAAGGGATGATAATGGTAGCAAATGCTCCAGTTCTGACATACAGTGAGGTTTTTGAAAATGAAAAAAAAAATGATGAGTTTGATAGATAATAAAAAGGTTGAATCTAGAATTTGGTGATTGATTAAGATGTAAAGCTTAGGGGAGATTAAATTTTTAAAAGTTCAGGGAGTTTGGGCATTATCTGGTCTCACAGGACAACAGGATAATTCTTTATTCAGCATGTTAAGATCACCTAACAGAAAAATACAGGTGGTGCTCCCACCTGGTATTTAAAAGATCTTTCTATAATTATCACACTATGTAAATTCTGCAATAATATTCTTGATAATTGGTACAGTATTGTTGCATTAGTTTTTGAAATGTGTGTTTTTGCCTCAAATACACTGAACCACAGCTTCAGCTGCTTTAATTTTTTCTTCCCTTCTGGAAGTTAATAATGCTCCTGAAAAAGCAATTAAACTGAAAAATAAAGCTTCATTTTGAAGAATAAGCAGCTTGCAACCTGGTTTAACGCTGAGATGGCACTAATAACACAGCACTTATGATCTAAGGGAGAAAATGAAAAGTCTTTATTATTTCCCCAAATGATGAAACAACCAGGGCCTAAAGACACACTATCACCATTTATTGCACTAGATAACGTGCATTTTTGTAAATGAAATGCTTGCTTCTGAGCACTATATCTGCTACTTTAGTGATTTGGCTAAATAGTTAATTTGATCTCAAAACATAAAGAGCTCTAATGTCATTTCAAGACTCAGAAGCCAAGTGGAAAGGTTAGAGAAAACAAAACTAAGCAGAGCCAATGAGGCAGCCTCTACTCGGAGGTACCTGATGGGGCATGAATACTCATTTGTTTGAACCTAGAGAAAATAATCTTTGTATTTTAAGACCAGCCTATTGTAAGAAAACCTTCTTTCTAATCCCAGCACTGCTTTCAGCAAGGCGAAGGATTAGACAGGTAGGTTATTTTAGTAAAATAAAAGTGAAACTTGGCTTTTAAATGTGAGATTTAATCCTTGCTTTCTCTATTAGCCTTGAGAAATTGGACTCGCTCTTGTAGTTGGCATGCTGAGTCGTTTTAGCACAGAAAAAAAAAAAAAAGCTTTTCACAGACAGCACTTATGCTCCAAAAATGAGTACATCTTTATTCAACTTGACCCTTCATTTGGAAACTGCTATCCTAAAGATAAAATGTTGTATTTAACGTAAAAGCCATTTTAAATAAATGATTTAAAGTTAAAAAAAAATGCCTAGTATTTCAAAACTTTCAATGCCAACACTGATGGTGGCAAGAAGTGGTCACTATGCTTAGCTCTTCTGATGGTGGTGAGTAGATGATTAGGATGAGGATTGTGTCTTCTGAATGAAAGCCGTGCATCTCTAATTATCATAGACACCCTCACGCCATGCAGCATACACTGACTTTGAGAGCAGAGCAAAGTATATAACGCTTGTTTTCTTTCCAGAAAGATTCAAGTTCCATGTTAACAGAGGCAAAGGAATCTATGCCTTATTCTACTGTCACCCCCAATTTTTCCCCATTGGTTGCTAGAAAAATCTGTCCAGAGCACTTAACTTATTTCAGGTGCTTTCTAAATCACCTATATTCTCTCTCTTAATGGTTTTAGGGAAATTTTTTATCCAAATAATTTCAATTTCCTCAATTTTTTCATTTTAAGTTTTCTTGTAGTGAAGATCTGCTTTCAGTTTTTGTATGTAAGAGAAAGTACAGTTGACCTAACCCAAGCATTAGGGGCACCAACCCCTCCACCCCTGAAGTTGGAAATGCATGTATTCCTTTGATTTCCCTAAAACTGAACTAATAGCCTACTGTTGACTGGAAACCTTACAGGTAACATAAACAGTTGACTAACACATAAATAGAGTAGTACCTACGTATATTTTACACATCTGTTCCATACCTAGCACTTTCTTAATTTTTTCAGTGTTTCTAAGGTACAAGGTTCATCTGTGATTTTTTTTTTAAATTATACTTTAAGTTCTGGGATACTTGTCCAGAACATGCAGGTTATGCAGGTTTGTTACATAGGTGTATATGTGCCATGGTGGTTTGCTGCACCCATCAACTCATCATCTGCATTAGATATTTGTCCTAATGGTCTCCCTCCCCATCCCCACAACCTCCAACAGGCCGTGGTGTGTGATGTTGCCCTCCTTGTGTCCATGTGTTCTCATTGTACAACTCCCATTTATGAGTAAGAACATGCAATGTTTGGTTTTCTGTTCCTGTGTTAGTTTGCTGAAAATGATGGTTTCCAGCTTCATCCATGTCTCTGCAAAGGACATGAACTCGTCCTTTTTTATGGCTGCATAGTATTCCATGGTATATATGTGCTGCATTTTCTTTATCCAGTTTATCATTGATGGGCATTTGGGTTGGTTCCAAGTCGTTGCTATTGTGAACAGTACTGCAATAAACATACATGTGCATGTGTCTCTATAGTAAAATGACTTATAATCCTTTGGGTATATAACCAGTAATGGGATTGCTGGGTCAAATGGTATTTCTGGTTCTAGATCCTTGAGGAATTGCCACATTATCTTCCACAATGGAGCTAATTTACACTCCCAACAACAGTGTAAAAGTGTTCCTATTTCTGCACGTCCTCTCCAGCATCTGTTGTTTCCTGACTTTTTAATGATTGCCATTCTAACTGGTGCGAAATGGTATCTCATTGTGATTTTGGTTTGCATTTCTCTAATGACCAGTGATGATGAGCTTTTATTCATATGTTTGTTGGCTAGATAAATGTCTTCTTTTGACAAGTTTCTGTTCATATCCTTTTCACACTTTTTGATGGGGTTGTTTGCTTATTTCTTGTACATTTGTTTAAGTTCTTTCTGGATATTAGCCCTTTGTCAGATGGACGGATTGCAAAAATTTTCTTCCATTCTGTAGGTTGCCTGTTCATTCTGATGATAGTTTCTTTTGCTGTGAAGAAGCTCTTTAGTTTAATTAGAGCCTATTTGTCTTTTGGCTTTAATTGCCATTGCCTTTTGTATTTTAGTCATAAAGTCTTTGCCTTTTGGCTTTTATTGCCATTGCTTTTTGTGTTTTTATTTTGGCTTTTATTGCCATTGCTTTTTGTGTTTTAGTCATACAGTCTTTGCCCATGCCTATGTCCTGAATGGTACTGCCTAGGTTTTCTTCTAGAGTTTTTACGGTTTTAGGTCTTACATTTAAGTATTTAATCCATCTCGAGTTAATTTTTTGTGTAAAGTGTAAAAAAGGGTACAGTTTCAGTTTTCTGCACATAGCTAGCCAGTTTTCCCAACACCATTTATTAAATAGGGAATCCTTTCTCCATTGCTTTTCTCACGTTTGTCAAATATCAGATGATTGTAAATTTGTGGCATTATTTCTGAGGACTCTGTTCTGTTCCATTGGTTTATATATCTGGCAACAGATATATAAACCAATGGTACCAGGTATATAAACCATGGTACCAATATCATGCTGTTTTGGTGCTATAGCCTTGTAGTATAGTTAGAAGTCAGGTAGTGTGATACCTCCAGCTTTGTTCTTTTCACTTAGGATTGTCTTGGCTATACAGGCTCTTTTTTTGGTTTTACATGATACTTAAAATAGTTTTTTCTAATTCTGTGAAGAAAGTCAATGGTATCTTGATGGGGATAGCATTGACTCTATAAATTCCTTTGGGAAGTATGGCCATTTTCATGATATTAATTCTTCCTATCCATGAGCAAGGAATTTTTTTCATTTGTTTGTGTTCTATTTCCTTGAGCAGTGGTTTGTGGTTATCCTTGAAGAGGACCTTCAAATCCCTTGTAAGTATTCCTAGGTGTCTTATTCTCTTTGTAGCAGTTGTGAATGGGAGTTCATTCATGATTTGGCTCTCTGTCTATTATTGGTTTATAGGAGTGCTTGTGATTTTTGCATATTGATTTTGTATCTTGAAGATTTTGCTGAAGTTGCTTATTAGCTTAAGGAGATTTTGGGCTGACACAATGAAGCTTTCTAAATATATATTCATGTCATCTGCAAACAGAGACAATTTTTCTTCTCTTCCTATTTGAATATGCTTTATTTCTTTCTCTTGCCTGCTTGTCCTGGTTTAAATGGTTAAAATTTCCAAAAACGTTTTATTTATTGAAAAAATATATGTACAGTGAACCCACACAGTTCAAATTAAGCTGTTCAGGATCAACTGTACTTATCTCATCTACATTTATGAAAGTAGCCTCTTCTTACAAAGCTTCTGGAAAGACTGAAAGAACAAAAGCATGAAAAGTTGGAATAGCTGAAGAAACAAAAAAGAAGAGGGAGACTATTAATACAAATATCACAGGGTTGCTACTGCCCCCATTCAGAAGCCTACAAGTTCTAGCCTTCCTTCCTTCTGTTCTATCCTCTGCCGTCTGTTTTCTAGTCATCTAACATACTTTGCAGACACTTGACTCCTTTGATACAGAAGGGAGCCTATAAAAGAGTAAATGTGAACCTGAGAGAAAACTGTCCCCATCTGGCATAGATTAGGATCCTTTGTGGAGAGCTGCTTGGCAATAACAATGTTTTTAAAAATTACATGTTTGAATTCAAAAGTTTATTTTTCAAATCTAAAGAGGAATAGTTCTATGTGTGCTCAGACTTATGTACATGGATGGGCACTGCAAAATTGTTCTAACATTTTTCTATTATTAAATAGGAAAAAGTGCACAAATGCCTGACAGTAGGTTCATGATTAAGTAAATTCTAGTCTATATCCATAGTATGCAATTTTACACATAATGTACTACCTATGAATAAACTGAATAAAAAGATCTTCAAAATCTATAGTAAATTAAAAATATCATAGAGATCTTTTTCAATATTTATTGACCATTATTTTTCAATATTCATTTACTATTTTCAATACTTATTTCAATAACTATATTACTCCATGTTGAATAGAAGAACCCTCTCCAAAAATTTTTAATTATTTCATGTCCCTTTATTTTCAAATTGTAGGCAAATGAAGAAAACAAATGTCCCAAAGTTTTTTTGATGTAGACAGAGTAAATATCTTCTGATAATAAAATCCCAAATAGTCATAACTTCAAGGATTCTTTATTAGATTCGATTCCAATTCAGTCACATCGATGTCCTTCAGTTTTGATTAGCTTCATCTACAAATACTTTTGTACTCAGGAAAGATATGTCTAATTTGTTGTGTTTTGTTTCTTTTCAAACTATGTGCCTGAATGTTGAATTTAGATAGTAGACAGTGTAATTGTTATAGTCATGGTTATTATCATTAATATGTAGAATTTATTGTACACTAAACTATGTTCTGGTAATAGTAAGTTACATCATGGGATTACAATGTGAATTCTCACATTGGCCTTTTCATGTTGGTATATTATAATATTCATTACATAAAAGAGGAAAGTTGAAACATGGAGGTTAAATATCATATATTCAAATAAAACCCAGGTAGCTTGACTCCAGGACCCATGCATTAGCCATAGTCACAAAACTGTATAAGAATCAAAGTTCATTTAGAGTCATGAGGGAGATTCTCGTCATCTCATGTGTCACCATGCTCGTGTATATTACTAGATGTCACCACCTGAAATTTTATGTAGAGCAATCATCTTTTTGACTTCTTTGCCAGGATGATGTCATCGTTTTCCCTCAGGTGACAATACTAGGCCATTTTGTCACCAATGAGAAGCCAGCAATTATTTTAAAACAGCATCTTTTACAAGATATTACCCCAAATGCCCTACTTAAATCTTCCCCTTAGTTAAATGAATGCTACCCTAAGTTTTTCAATCAAGTTTGAATTAAATGCATGTGAAGGACTCTGTGGGTTGGGAGATTATGTGGGGGTGTCCTCATTTCACACTCTTTGCTTTTTCTGGTAGATAAACCCAGATAACAACAGACCATGACTTGGGCTCTTAGTCATTTTCAAATCAATAGTTATCCAGAGAAGTTCATTAATGTTTCCAAAACAAACCAAAAAAGAAAAAAAGAAAAAGCCTAGTGTCAAATTGAGCATGTTCATGCTCTTAGGACAAAAGTAGAGCAGTAAATAAAATAAGAAAATCTAAAATAGGTTGATCCAGAACTGTTAAGGAATGAATATGTAGCTTCTAAGAGAGACCCCCCAGCCCCTAGTCATAACATACTATATTTACTAAGATAATTCCCCTATATCTGGGAACCCCTGATATCGATTACTTCAAGTGGAGAGGTAGAAAGTTGGTAGGCTTAACTCTTCTCAAAGGGGAGAGGGGAAAATAAGAAGGGAAAGTGAGTTTTTTTCACTGTTAAAAGGGGAGTTTTTTCCTTTTTAAAAATATTTATTTGTTTTTATATATATTTTTTGAGACAGAGTTTTGTTCTTGTTGCCCAGGATGGAGTGCAATGGCACAATTTCAGATCAGTGCAACCTCCACCTCCCAGGTTCAAGCAACAATTCTGCCTCAGCCTCCCAAGTAGCTGGGATTATAGGTGCTCACCACCACTCCCAGTTAATTTTTGTGTTTTTAGTAGAAATAGGGTTTCGTTATGTTGGCCAGGCTGGTCTCAAACTCCTGACCACAGATGATCTGCCTGTCTCGAACTCCCAAAGTGCTGGGATTACAGGTGTGAGTCATCACACCCAGCCTATTTTTTCATTTTTTAATTTTCATTTTTTATTTGCATAGAGGAGAAGTCGGAACTGTGGCTACCATAGGAGACTATGAGTGCTATCGTTGCTGTTGCTTTCAACTTGCTTCTGACAGGATTCCTACTTCAAACTCTGAAAGAATCTGTTATTGCAAAAATAAAATTTTATGTATTTATTTTTTTACTTTTGCAATAACAATATATATATAAATATATATATAAATATATATATATATAAATATATATATATGAATATATATATATATTCATATATATATATATGGCAGTCTATGAAAAATAGGAGATTGATTGAGGACATTTAAGAGGTGGCAGGTAAGAAAACAATCCACTCATAGTTTAACCTGAAACCTCAATTATGTATAATGTGCCTTAATTAGGAAAGATGAAACAATTGAAAGGAAACTGCAAGAACACTTTTTATTTTTACCAAGACTAGTGACCTTTTTTAGCATACTTGAAGAATAATTATTCTTATTGTTTTAGCAAACCAAATGGAACACACTTTTTCAAATGGAGTTTGCATTTAATCTCATCATTTAAGTGACTATTATCTATTTGAAAATATGTGCATGAGCATTACCAATCACCTTTTCCCCCTCATTTTCTTATTGAGATTATGAATACAATTGTTTCAACATCTTTCAAAAATAAATATGCTTACAAGAGTTTTAAACTTGTGGTTTATTAAAATATAACACTTGGGAGTTGTAGAGTCCAAATTTTAAACGTTAAGGTTCTTGTTCAGCAATTTGTCTTCTTACTAACAATCAGCTTTTCTTATGAAATATTTTATGACATTACTTAAATGTATAATTCTGGTTGTTTGCTTGTTTGTTTGTTTTTGAGACAGAGTCTCACTCTGTTGCCCAGGCGGGAATGCAGTGGTGTAATCTTGGCTCACTGCAACCTCTGCCTCCCGGGTTTAAGCGATTCTCTGGCCTCAGCCTCCCAAGTACTGAGACTAAAGCAGCATGCCACCATGCCCAGCTAATTCTTATATTTTTTAACAGAGATTGGGTTTCATCATGTTGGCCAGGCTGGTCTCGAACTCCTGACCACAGATGATCTGCCTGTCTCAGACTCCCAAAGTGCTGGGATTACAGGTGTAAGCCACCGCACCCAGCCTTAAATGTATAATTCTACTGTTCCTAGATGCAGAGGAGATTCATTTACTAATCTTTAAAAATATTTTTTAAAAGTAAAATAAACTAACTGAACTTCCTAATTTAATGCGTTGCATTGAATGTTAGGTTGATTCCAAAATGAAAAAAACAAAACTTGTATTTCCTGGCTTCTATGAGCAAACATTTTAAAGCAACATTGGGCATTTTTTCTTTTCTATTTGGATAAATAATTTAAGCATAATTTAGGTTTCTGGATTCATAATGGTATGAGAAAGCATTTGAATAAATGACTTTCCTTCACTGGAAATAGTAGAAAATACCACATAGTAAAAAGATTCTGAAGTCAACATGTGACTATGTTATGTGTAGGCAATTTACAACCAGTACAGTGGGAAAGAAATTGATATTTTCATTTAACAGATAATATTTCAACCACTCTAGATGGCACATTATTTGTTAAAAAGAAAAAAAAGAAAAACACTGTAAATTGACTTATATTACAGATTATGCCTGTCTATATTTGCCATCTATATTACATGATTTAAATCGACACGTCTTCTTTCATCTGTGAAAGGACTTATTACCTTGTCCTTACTAGGCTCCCTCTTTGAATTTTATTTATAGATAGTGAGCAGAATTTATGGAAGAGGCTTATAAGTAAAAAATGCAATTATTTTGAGAGCTATATCTGTTATCAAGTTGGGGCTAGAGATAGAATTAATAAAGTTTTTGATTCTTTCCAATTACTTTTAAATAAACATTGAGATGTGCCTAATCAATCACCACAACGTTGTTTACTCTGTCAGTCAGCATTTTAAAACCGGCTATAGGACGCATATTATGTGTGGAAAGAATGTGTTAATTTTATTTAAAATGGGGAACCCTGGTATGGGAAATGCTTTTCAGGATCTTACAATGAATCAGCCTAAGCATGAGTTTAGGATTATGGGGAAGTAGAAATAAAGGAATGGGTTTGCTAGCTCTAAGTTTCCCAAGCCTCCACAAAACATAATTTTTTTTAAAAAAAGAAAATTGTATACAATTATACAATTAGAGTCTGTTTTTAGTTTGTTTGTTGTAAGCTTCATTAGCAAAGATTTCTGGGAAAGATCTATGTCTGGTAATTATATATGGAAATCCTGAAATATGAGAGACTTTGCAGTGTGTAGTACTTTTTTAGTGATTTTTTTTACTCAGCTTGGAGCAACAGAAATTAGAAGGGAAAAATAATGTCATGTTTCTACTATTCATTTTGATGTTATGAGACTCCACAGGTCTAATTTGAAATATGTCACTATTTTTATCTAAATTAGTACAATATTCTAAGTGTTTACTTAATGATTAGTTATTGGTAACTTAATAATTTTTACTTCAGTATCTTTCTAAATTTTATATTCTAAGAATTATAAAATATCTTGTTTATCTCAGTGTTGTCATTTAAAAGAAATGTGGAAATATTAGACAAGGCCTTGGCCTTACATTGTATGAGACCAATGCAAAAAACATTTCTATATTTTACACATTTCTTGTCAAGGCTTCAACAATTCACAAGACAATTCTACTCAGAGTCAATTTCATTGCAATGTGTGCCATTTTTTTCCCATTTGGGTGGTTGACATCCAATATAAATAATTACTTTTTAGTTGGTAAGTTTTCAGCTAAATAAATTATGTAAAGGAATCTGAGCATAAATTATTATTTTTCTACATGATTTTGAAAAGCAAGTTTATTTTAGAAGTAGATATATTAATGTCCTCATAAATCAATGCTAAAAAACCTAATTGACTTTAAATTATCAAGAGCAAAAAGAGAAAAGCATGCCACCATGACACAAATCAAAATACATTATTAATTCAGATATAGCACTTGACATTTAAAGGTGATTTATCCTAATTCAGCCACATCATATTCAGTTATTTTAAAACTTGGCTCAAATCAGGACTCTAATATATGTTCAGTGTATAGTATGAAGAAAATTTAAAATAAAGCCTTATAAGAAATATTTAGTGCATATTAGCAGAAATAAACTCCTTAGTAAATTCAAAGAGTGAGGATGAAGTGAAAGAAACAGGCAAGACAAGAAAATAATTTACGTGTTATACCTTTCACAATATATCAAATATATACATGAAAATACTGTTACACATGTATAGTTTTTAAAAGAAAATGTTTACATTAGGATTATTGTATATATTCGAATTGTTTTAGAATGATAGTCATGGAATAATGGTTTTTTCATCAGAA